GCAACAGGGTTTTCGCCTGATTGAGAGCGGAGTATACGATTGAGAGCGGGAGCCAATTTTTTTTGGAAATTTCGGGTCCAGACGCCTCTTGCCATTTCTTGGGAAGTAGGGGGCGGGCTCTTCCAAGAAGCGGCGCAAATTGAAGGTCTCATCAGCAGCGTCACGAGCATATGCGTGTCATCGCGATCGGATGCAGCAGCTAGGAGCTAGACAAGTTGCTAGATTTCCCCAGATTGGCTATTCCTGCCTCAAACTGTTGCAGGGCGGTTTGGCCTCGGGCGGTGAGCTCTGCTGTAGATTCTGCTCCCCGTTGTAGCTCCACAACGAGAAACGCCCACAGGATGACCAGGGTATCGGCTTGTAGCTACGGGCTAGGCCTTCAATTCAAGTCACGCAGCAAGCTCCACCTCTCAGCGGTAGTCCAGCTACAGCGCATCGCCCAATCTCGCTCTCAATCAGAAACTTCGCTCTCAGTCACACGAAAACCTTGTTGTGCGTCGTTCTTGAGTGCTGGTACATTCGTTGCCTCGTGTTGTCCTTCTAGAAGAGGTGCGACTATGAAACACAGCTATAAAACAACTCAACCAAAAACCTTTTACGTGTCCACGTGCAACATGTGCATCGCATCACACCACGATGATTTATTTTCCGAACGCAGATCCACCAAAAGCGTACCACGTACAGCAGTACTTGGGTCCACGTGCTTGCCAACCAAGAGAATGAGCGGTGTTTGGAGGTAGTCCGACGTGGTAACGCTAGCTGCGCAAGTGACATGCATGATACGCTCTCTTCATGACCTATTTTGGCATTCGAATGTAGTCAGTGCGCGAGAGTCCCTGTTTCACGACCTTTAGTTTTGTCTATGATATAAGAGAATATTCTCTTATAGTGAGATACTGTTTAAGAGAATTCTCTCTTATACCGTAGCCAACACGATATAACAGAAAGCCGGATTTAAGAGAGTGAAATTGGCTTGTACCGACCCTCTCTTAAACCGTAGCCGCTACTGTATCCCGATCATGGGTCGTTAACCTCATCCCCCTTCTTGGATCACCTGCCGCGATGTACGAGGAGAACCCCGACAACGCCGGCGTCACGACGGCCGGAATAATCGGCACCGGGCGGTGATACTGTGGCTTCCTGCACACCGTCGCCGCATCGATCAGCTGCCCCGCCCCGCGACTGAGGACCCGATGAAGTCGCCCATGAGGTCTGAGTTCGCCAGTACCTTAAATCTCGTCTGGCCGCCCTCATTCGGCCGTTGTGTTTCAACTCACTCAGCTCTTGGCGACCCCTTCGATAGCCATCCTTTTGATTCAACCGCCACCCCTGGGCCGCGGTCCGCGGAGAAGACCGTGCACGACACGGGCGCCCTGCTGCTCCCCGAGCGGGCGTAAGTCCTGGCTCTCATGAAGACGGTCGCGGCGTGGGGCACCCGGCGGTCATATCCGCCGTCGCGGCTTCTGAAAGGGAACAGCTGGCGTTGCCGGCCGCCATTCTCGCGTACCGGTCCGCCCGCGTCCTGCCGCCCTGCTCAGGCGTGACTTCGATTCAATCGTCATCTGCGAGTGTGCAAGCGCTCCCTTCCACAACAAGCAACAGAAACAATACGAAACCGAGTTGACGCGTTTCGTCCACGCGATTATCCGAGAACTTGGCATAAATGTATTTCGTGCGTAGATCACACGAATGCCAACGCTGTGAAATATTATAATATGGTTAGTGCTGTTGAAATAAGCCTCCCCAAACCAGGCCGCCAAGACACGATTGATGTGTTTCACCCCGGCACATACCGAATACATATCATTTGCACGATATACATGACCAACCGCGTAATCGCACAAACTCGGCGGGCGCAGGAACGGCACTGCTGTATGGAATTGGCGGCCCTACCACAAAGTCAACAACAAATGTTGGTTGTTTTGTCTTGGCGGATTCATCCATGTTCATGCTTCTACTGGATAGTGAGAATCGCTCGAATGCGACAAACGCGGGAAGCACTGTTGCTGCTAGAAACACGCCCACGCCCACGGCCGTTATTCACGACTGATGTGTGTGGCTGTCGGCATAATATATCCGCGTGGATAGCCCACTGCGACAACCCTGGTAACACTGTCCAAAACCAAGCCTACAAAGCATGGTCGCCAATCACAAATTCATGTGATTCGCCCTTGCAATGACTGCCATTACTCCCGGATTTTTGCGATTGCGCTGGCCGCATTAGACAGCGTTTTGCAACCGTAGCTCCATCACCACTCGCAGAAAACAAACCACCATTATGTGACTGGGACACGTTAGATTTGGCGGTCTAAGTTATGATCGACATGCCTGCGGGAATCATACGAATACGACGCCCTCGGTAGGCCAACATCGTTGAAACAATTACCACACCACCGCCAGCCAAGACTGATGTGTCTGGTCCCGGCACACACTGACCGCGTATATCACGTATGGATGGCAAGACTGCGTGGGTCGTCACAAAGCGACCATCGCAGTTGTCCGCGCTTCGAAAACGGAACGCTCCCACCCTATCTGCAAAACATTGTAGACGTGTATAGTTCCGTCGTTTACTTAGATTATAGTTCCTCGTCATGCATTCATGGCTGCGTGAACCGTGCAAAGCGACATCTGCGATACGCCGCAAACTCCATGACCGCGTTGCGCGTGTGATATCTGTGGTCCCCGCAAGGAACAGGCTGGGTGGACCACACGTTGCGACACTCTGGTATGTAGTGCTGCGGGAACACAAGCCTACAAACCACGGTCGCCAACCACGATCCCGGCAGAAATATGTCTGCATGAATCGCTCCCTGCGACAACCCTGCTGGTTAGCACTGGTCAATACCAAGCCCCCCGATCAGGACCGTCAAACACGATTGGTGCGTCCGGTGCCGGCATAGGAAAATCTGCGTGAATCTGCGACGATTCTCTTGCGAAGCACTGATCCAAATCAAGCTCACCGACCACGGTCACCAGACACGAGTTATGTGTTTTGTCCCAGCATGTGCGTGAATCGCCCAATGCGACGAGTCTGGCAGATAACCATGTTTAGAAACAACAAGCTGCCAACCACAGTCGCCAAACACGATTTATGTGCTTGGTTCCGGCATGAACAAGTCTGCGTGAATCGCCCGATGCGACAAACCTGACAAGTAGCACTGTTCCAAAATAAAGTTCACCAGCCAAGGCCGCCAAATACGATTGACGTGTTTGGTCCCGGCATTCACGAACCTGCGAGAATCGCCCCATGCGGCAACCTGGGTAAAATCGCCCCGTGCCACAACCTTGGTAACACTATTCAAAATGAAGCTCACCAGCTACGGCCGCAGAGGCGTACGCTTTCAGTGCACGTAATATATAGAGCAAGATTAAAGTGAACGAATTGTATGCAGTTGTTTCGCTTTCCCGTGCAGAATTTTCTGCTTTCGTCTGGTCGGCTGAAATGTGCTGGCTGAAATCCTGTCGGCCGCTGATCCCTCTGGCAAGCAGACCATAAAGTCGCCTACAAGGGTGGCCGGACGATGGTAGAGCCCTGTCCACAAGCGTGTCCTCATCGCCGTTCTGAACCCTGAAGGCGCCGACGACGCAACCGGTGAATGGGTGGATTCTTCGTTTTCTCAAGTTAAGCGTTTTCTAGAGACGAGACGAAGGACAAGTCGGGGCCCTCGGCATACCGTAGGCTACTCAAGCTGCTCGCGGACGAGTAGGAACTGAAAGGTCTTAACCGGGACATAGACAAGCTGCAGGGTCTTGGTGTGCCTAACGGCACGCCGTACAGCCAACTCGTTACGAATTTCAAGGCGTTGGCAATGTCGGAGCTGGCCTCGCATAGGAATTTTGCGCCGGATCTGCGCAAGCGTGCGCTTAGGCACGCTTTGTTGGAGCAGTACCCGAACGTTCCCTAGATTCTCTACAACGTGGTGTTTAGTGATCGGGATGAGCTTTTGGATGCTTTGTCATCGGAGGAAGCACTAAAACACTCACTCGCCTGTAGCTTCTGGTTTTTCATCGGCGCCCACACGAGCCATTACCGCGACCGTGGGGCAGCAGCGGTCGCCACCGCCGCCGCCGCTGCTGCACCCGTCCGCGTAGTCTCCAGGACCACGCTTTGTCGCTGGCGTGATGGCCACTGACCCTGTGCCGTCCGATAACGCATGTCCTTGCGGGCACGGTTACGACTTCTTGCCGGTGCGTGGTCACTACAGCTACGTTTACAGCGTTGTGGCGAGTACGGCTAAGATGGACCCCCTTTTGTTCACGCCGCTGTTGACCCCTGCCGACCGAGCACACGCTTTGCGGCAACTTTCTGGCCAATGTCTCAACTGCGGGCAGGCGGAGCACAGCCTCAAAACTTGCTCGTATTCTTCCACCAATTACACCGGCCTCTTAAACCCGGCCACTGGTTCACATGCTGATAGCGTTCAGGTCTTGCAACGTTGGCAAAACCGCATGAAGTCTCACCGCCCGCTTGTGAACAATCGAAGTCGCCCGGGTAAGAGCAGCGGGCATCCACAGGACGAAGGCCGCCGCTCTGGGAAACATAACTCGAACTCACACACCCCACCTGCGGCGCCGGCCACAGGCACCGCCGCGGCCCCGTCTTCCACCGCTGTCTGCCTCTAGAACACCGCAAGCCCGGAAGTGCGGAACCCCGCACTCACTGATACTCCGGTGACGGCTTTTTGCACACATCGCCGTCATAAGTACCGATTGTGCGCTGTACCACTAGTTCCCAAGACGTTCGTACCGAACGGACGTCTTCGGGTTCGCCAATGTTAGTTTCCCAACCTTTTATTTCTCAGGTGTCGCACCACGCCTCTTCACAGCCTGTTTGGGGTGACCGTCGTGAAACGTCGGCGCCGAATACAACCTTGTGGTGTGGGCGAGGGGGCGCTCGCCCCGATGTCTACGCCCCTTGGAGGCATGGCTTCTGCGCCTCCCACCGTTTCGACGGCTCCGGGTGGTCTCGTCAACCACACGCAGGTAAGGGACCTTCGGTGCGGCCCCAAGCCCGCCGCGGTGGCTCGGGCGCAACCGTACCCACCGCGTCCCGCCAGGTCCCTGTGCGACCTTACTCTATTAAGCATCAACGTCGCACGATGCTGACTGCACCACCGTTGCCGGGCGCAGGTAACGGTTTTCCCAACTCGGGAGGTTCATGTTCTTTGTCACGAAATAACGGTCCCCAGCCTCCCGCGGCCGCTGGCCATGTTGGTCGCGCGCCCGTGAGCAAGGTCGCTTTCAATGAGCAAGCCTACGCATACGCTTTGCGCGATCACACCCACGTAGACCGCTTGGTTTCGCACGCTTCTGCGGCTGGATCACCGCTTTCGCCTGCCTCTCCTCGCAATTCACAGTCTGGCCCGTCTTCGGACGGCACCTACGTTGTCCTGCTGGTTGCCGGTGCCATTTCCCTTGACGATATTTCTTCGGGGAAGGTAAGCGCACCCGCGCAGCAGGCCCCTGTTTTCGGCGGAAGTCAGGAATATTACAACGATGAGGTTTCCTCGTTTGGAAACAGCCGCTCTTTCTGTCCACCTGGACGCCCTGTGCAAACTCCACCACATTCGCTATGGGTGCGGGATACAGTTCATGATGGCGGAAGAAGCCCGCATTTGATGATGTCGCTTGTGCCAAAATTATACCTACCTCCGACCCGAGAGAAAGTACCTTGGCCGCAAGGTGCGCGGTTTTGGTACCACACATTTTGGGAACATAGATGCGAGGATGTTGTCTTTTCGCCATTTCATGAGAAGTTCGCCAAAAATGATGACGAGGGCGAACGTTTGTTGGCTACAGGAGACAGGCAGATTGCGGAGGCTTGTTCTCTTGACGGATTGTGGGGCATTGTGTTGATGCCCTCGATGCGCGTGCGGCGTTGTCCTCCAAATGGCCTGGTCCGAACCTCTTGGGCAAAGCGCTCGTTACGATGCGCACGCTTCTGCGTGTGCGCCCGGTCGAACCCGACAAGCCATTACCCCCTGAACATTCGGGGCTACCTGCCCC